TCAGGCGGACAACGAGGCTGTCCCTGCGCGCGCCAACACAGATTACGTAAGTCGTTTTCTAAATTTAGTTAGTATTCGTTCATTACAATTTTTTTTATATTTTAATTATGTGTATATATTTTCCTTGTGCTTTATGTAGTGGGTCGGACGGTCCATGTCCCTTTCATCAGATATGCATCGGGAGTTCACGACAGTTGCTCCTGAAATGTCGGCAATTTATGCAGAAAAATTGGCTCAGTTGAAGTTGGATTTCGACAGAGCGCAGTAGTGATGTAATAAATACTTATTTTTTTTCTTTTTATATTTTGTTTTGGATGTTGTCAGAAACCACCCGAATTGTTTTTTTTTTTTTTGGTGGTTAGTTAATTTTATTTTCATCTAAACAAAAAATTCTCCCATTATATCACGTGAAACGGTAGACACGGCGAGATATCACAATCTATCACTCGTAACGCATGAAAATAAAATTTAAAAAAAAAACCGCAGACATAAGTCGAATATCACAATATATCAAATTCCAGCTGCAGTACGAATATCATGCCACAACTGGAACCTGCTCTGGTACTGATACGGCCAATCTCGAACCGAAATATCTCCGTATTTCTCCCACAAAAAACACAAAGGCGGTAATGGAGAATCAGAACACAGATTGACACGAATGAAGTGCGCGTAGGAACCAAGATGACCTATGCCGATCTCACAGTCAGGTCGTGTAGCCGTGGATGGTGCGCGGATCGGGAATACCGTCATACTGGCCATGTCCATATTGTTATCGTTGGGACCATAGCTTAACAACACAACAACTGCATTGAACAGTGTAGCAATAGCAAAGAGGTCGTCGGTAGCATTCATCCAATGCTCCTCGCCACAAGGACCCCCGTCCCATCTTATACGATCGATTGCAACGTCGACCCCATCCCAATAAAATGGAGCGTACAAAAGAATGTTGGCTGCAACCTCATTTGCAATATTTCTTCTTGCCACATCCCACTTCTGCTGATCCCTATAAATGTAACTCGCAACCACCCGAAATCCGCAGTTCCCGTTCGGCGTCACATCCAGATAACTTTGTACGTAGCTGTGAACTACGTAGGGAATCCTACCACAATGTCGGTACTGAAAAAAATCCGTCTCGAATGTATCTGTAATATCAGAATAATTACACGTCATAATTTAGGTAATTGAATTTACAAACATAATTAGTCATCGTTCAGATAAAAAATAAAATTAAATTACCTGTCGGATCTTGAGACGATGAGCTTGTCGGGGCACACAAAGAAGTGCTTGTACGACCCACCGGACGGCCTCTTTCCCTGTAGTCCCACATCGACGGAGCACAAGAAGAAGTGCTCTTACGCCCCGGCCGACGACCTGTTTCCGTGTATCCTGATTGCGATGGAGCACATGAAGAAGTGCTTTTACGCCCCGCCGTACGGCCTCTTTCACTATACTCCCATCTCGATAGATCGCGTTTTGTTGAATTTTTCTTCTTGGGCCGACCTCTCGGATTTTCCTTCACTGCAGGTTCTGTGTATCCCTGTTGATCATGGTGAAGCTGAGAGTCGATGAGATGGTTCAGGTACCGTACAGTCGCCGGATCGGCCGCTTCAACCTCCTCGGCAAGCCTCCAAAAATAATCATGATCAGTCCATCCACTCGCCGATGCACTCTGCTGACTTGTCCGTACCGAAAATTTAAAGAATTATACAATATGCTCTATCAAAATTTCTATAAATTAAACAAAATTTAGGAGAAAAAAAAATGTTCAGCATGATGTTCTATAGATTTATTAATCTCGCAATTACCTGGCTGCATCACCTCTAGTGTGCTCCAGAAGATGTGGATGTCGTCGGTCGTAATATTTCTACGTACAGTGTGTGCCTCCCTTAACTCACAGGCATAAGGAAGTCCATGAGTGTATTTTACTGCACAATCGTAGCGCTCCGAAACATCTTTGCCGAAGTCTCGCATCTTCTGAAGCTCATCATTCAATATATCCATACAGTAATGCGAGACCCGCAGTGTCAACTGCTCGAAAGGAATCCCCTGAAGCCCGTACTCATCCTAAGTCTCGAAGACTCCAGCGTCTCCCTGGTAATACATTACATAACATAACATTCGACCCAATTAAAATTTATAATTAATGCATTAATAACACAGTCTTACTGTATAAATTAAAAAATATACCTGACTTTAGTCAGTTGAGAATCAATCTCCTTGTCAATCTTCTCCCAAACCGTGTCGAGCGAACCAGTCGACGTGTTAAGACACCGCTTCAACGTAGCATGAGAACTCTCCACCCTACACGACGTTGTGTTGCCAAAATGTAAGACAGTGTCCGTCCACACTTTGACAAACTTCTCCTTGTGCACTAGCCATGTCTGATCCACATATTCCAGCACACGAGGAAATGCTGCGTATGTAACAGCCAAATCACTTACGGCAGTTTTGTATTCGTCCCACGTGTTCACCTTGGCAACCTTCTTCCACTTGCCGTGCGTGAACTTCTGCGCGAAGATCTTATTTTTAGTTGTGGTTGTCGACGTTAATCGATAGACCCTGTCTTCCACATCTTTGTTGATGTGCCACGTGCAAAGTAAGTGTGGCGTCGTCGGAAAATTCCTCTGAATAAGAGTGATCAACCCCAATTCCCTGTCACTGACAATGACTGTAGAATGTACATTGGGCCCTATCAGAAGTCTCAACCGCTGTAGGACCCAGTCATAGCTGTATTCGGTCTCGTCCTTGATAATTGCATAAGCAATTAAGAAATTCTTGTTGCACGGCGTCATTCCAACCATCTCAACCAACGGCATGTGGTACCTGTGCAAATGAAAGCAGCAAGAAGAAAAAACATAGAATCAAAAAACTTACTCAAACATACTATTTTAAGATTCACATTATATTACTATTTATAACGTAATGTAACATACCTGTTGGTTTTGTACGTGGAATCTATACCGACATACCTGTAATATGTTCGGAATAGACTGGCTGCTCCTGGATGCGACATGAACACACGTGTCAATTCCTGTGTGTCCGGGTCAACACCTGTGTAAACTATGTAGTTGCTGTCCCTAGCCAAATGCAGAAGCTGGCCAACAATATCTCTACCCTCCAGACGGTCTTTTCGCAATTGACCTCTATAGTTATACACTTGTCGGCAAGTAGCGTTGTCCACTGGGGTTTTCTCCTGAATTGCAGCCAATATTATTCCCGGTCTTGCCTGAGCATCAGTCATATCACGGACAATCTCTTTGGATGAATCGCTGAGTCGGGTCATCTGTCGATGACCCTCGGGATGCACAGCCAAAGCATGATTATGAAATCCCTTCTCGTCTTCTAAAGGAAGCCAGGTACTCCATTTTTTGGAATTTGTTTCAAATTTGACTTTTATCAGAAAAGGGCAGCCAGTAAATTTAGTCTTCGAACGTCTCAAAACAGCATTCACAAGATTTCCTAGTTTTCCTGCCTTGCTTCTGTAACGTTCCCCTCGATGACACCTCAACCTCCGAACCATTCCATCTTTTTCGTGTCTCGAGATGACCAATTCGAAATTCCATATCATTGCAATGTCTTTTGCCCATTCAATAGCTTCCTCATGACTATCAAATAGCTCATTTGTAGCAAAACAAGATCAGCAATCTTCACCGTCTCCTCCAAAATCTTCGAGTGACACCTGCAATATGTTACGATGTATGTTAATAATGTTACAAAATTATGAATTTTAACTTCTCTCAAATAATAATAGTAATTAATTTGTAATTTATTATATAATCAATTCAAACTTCTAACGTTATATCAATAAATTTTACGTTATAAGATAATACATTCATATATATTAATAATTTATACTAATATAAATTTTTCCTATTACATAATTTTATACTATTAATTTAATACTAAATACTAATATTAGTTTTTTATAAATACTTTCTATTAGTATATACTAAAAAATTAATATATTAGTATATAAAAAAAATTATTATTATATTACTAATAGAATTTTTAATGTATATTATTATATATTAATATAACTTTTTTATATTATA